GGAATAAAGGGGGAAGGAAGAAAAACATGCAATGTAGCTTATGCAATTCTTTGCCACTCTGACTCTGCATCTGAGATAAAAGGGGGCCGTATGGGGCCGTTCATCCGCCCGGCCTTCGGCTTGGTCCGCTTCAGGCTGACAGCCGGCTGCCAGCGAGGATCGCCACCCAGTGCCTCCTGCTGCTCGTGCAACAGCGCCTGCAGCCGACCGACCAGAGCCGAGCGTCGGATCCGGCCCGCTGAGCGGGAAGCAAAACCCCGCACAGCCCTCATTCACACCCCGAAGAGCACGGCATGGAGTTGTTTTAAGACCTGTCCCTCACATCACTGCTGAGGGATCCATCCAATGAGCTACCGGTCACATCGGTATACCTCCGCTGTTGATTCTGTTGATGTTTATTCTTCGTTGCGTGTCCCAAATGAGGATCCACGAGATCGGTTGAGGCAATGACTGAAAAGGCTCCAAGTACCAAACCCAGGCAAACTCTCCAACGCCTTTTTTTGCGTGAGATCGGCGCACAGCATCAAGCTACAGTTAAACATGCTGAAGTGTAGGGGCTCGGCTGCTGGATTAAAAGGATAAATCGGGATTAACGGATTAACAGAATGCATCTATCACCCTGCGGGTGCCCTGAGAAATGCAGCGCCAGGACCCCGAGCGGCCCAACCGACTTGAATCGATCTGAATTCACAGCATCTGCAGCGTACGCATGGTCAGTGCTGCTTAGAGAATGCGACATCAACCTACAAGTTATCAAAAAAAAAGAAAGCGGTAGAATTAAAAAAAGTATATATAGTATATAGGTTGGAGGCCATGGAGGCCATCACTAGTAGGTTGGGGGCCATCGCTAGTAGTCTTCCAGAATCACCACATGCGCTGCAGGTACCACAACGACACCTACACGAGCTCAGCAGGCACAGCTCCAGTCCTTGAATGGAGCCCGTGTTGAGCCCGGCACCACTCCGGCTCTAAAATCGATGAAGCTTCCCTGTCTCCAAACAAGACCCAATGCTCCCCGACTGGAACTGCATCTTGCATGAGAACCATTTGCCCTTGCCAGGTGCGAACAAGTAACAAGTAGCAGTGCCTCTGGACCTTTCCACATCCTGGTTCCCACTATTGAAGTCCATAGCCACCTCACAAGCGGCCACTGGGCCAATAGCTAATTAAGAACATGGCATGGCCGATCTTTGTTCGCCCTTTGCCGTCGTCAGATCTCACTGGCCTTGCCGAAATCTCGATGTCCCACCGAGAGAACATCCTGCATTATCTAAGAGGAAGATGCATTGGGGGTGTTGATCCTAATTTGCTAAGCTCTTCAATTAGGGTACTGTAAGCAATGGTAAGCACCAACACATTTAAATTTCCCCCAAACACATGTTGTCCATAAAATGCATCAAATCCACGGCAGCGTGGCATCGCTGGTGGGGTCATTCGGAGACACGAAGATTCAAGTCCAAATTCAAAAAGGTGGTTCAACGACATTCGGAGCTGGTGGACTTTCCATACCATTCCATGTGCGAATTTGATTCCACTTCCTAGAGTTGGCCATTCAAACCGACGCCACTTCCACCGAGGATGTTTGGGGTGAACGTCAGTGCGGGCCAACACCTGAGGATCCAGAGCCACACAGCACCCGCGCAACAGAGGAAGCGTCCGAGCGCCTTGGCAAAAGATCATGGAAGAAGTGGATCTTTAAGATGTTTGTTGTTGGCCCTCCTCACAATATGGGGATCAATGGCAGCATGTACCTCCACTTATCATCACCAGCGCTGTACTTGTGCGGATGTCAGTGGAGTTATTCCAGCCACCAACTGCGTTCCGCCTCCTTCACTAGTTTTAACAGTTCTTTCACTGATCTCTGGCGCCTTTCAAAAAGCACATTGAGCACTGTGTGGCCGCAGCACTTGGTCAGCCTTCTCTCCCATACGTCAACACTGGGCGGCCAGGCGGGCTGAAGGGATTCTCATCAGAGCCTGCCAAATCGGACGACCAAACCGGGAGGCTATGACGAGTCACGAGTCTCAGTCAAAGAGGGATCCTATTTCATGATGAATCAATGGCAATGGCACTGGCAAAAAAAAGACGGTGCTTATTTCACTCAGCTTGGTGTTCCGCGAGTGAAGTCTTGGGTTTCTTCAGTACATGCCACTCAGATGACTTGGTCAGCTGAAAGGTGAACACCTTCGAAAGCGAACAGAAGCTGCGAAGCGCCAGGAGCACGCCTGAATTCGGCACACTCGGCGCTCCATTGTGTGAAGAATCGTGAGTCGTGGATGGGGTGTGAGATCCCCACATCCACCATTCCATAAATATGTGGCACAGGTACCCCAAGCATCCTCGTGGAAGACTTGAAGAGCAACTGGGGGTCAAATGCCATGCTGCCGCTTTACAAAGAGCTCCACTCTCTATAGAATACAAAAGCGGCCCATCAGAAAATCATGCCCTCAGGCGGACTCAGACCGGATCGGCCTTGGCACCCCATGCATCCTTGGGATTGCTTGCTGATCCTGCCGGGGCTGACGGGAGGACCCCCAGTGGAGCGGACCCAGAGCCGGTGCCTCCGGCGGCTCCGGCTCCCGCATTCAAGGAATAGGCCTTGGGCGGGGAATGATGATGAGAGTCCATACCCACAGCTTCAACTTCTTCGCTGATGCGCAAGGTTCCGGTGAGCTTCAGGAGGAGGAACGTGATGGCAGAAAGGCTGCCAGACCAAATAATCACCATGATGATGAGGATGAACTGTGCTCCGATTGCACTCTCTCCCAAGCCTGGCTTGCAGGACGAGTCAGTTGTTGACACTGGCATGCAACCAAATCCGCTCCAGCCGTGATAGTAATCAAAGCCTTTGCCCCAATCAAACAGGCCGCAGGCCAACACACCCCAAATGCCACAGAAGCCGTGAACTGGGGCCGCATCCACTGGATCATCAATCTTGAGCTTCTGCAGAAGCATGGATCCACCCTGGTACACGAATGCTCCAATCAATCCAGTGGCAAAAGCACTTCCACATTCCATGTTGCCACAGCCTGCGGTGATGGAGACCAACCCTGCCAAGATACCATTGCACAAACCACCCACATCGTACTTTTTCTGGATTGCAAAGCGGAGGATGAAGACAGTGATGCCACCGGTGGCCGCAGCAAGTGTCGTGTTCATGGCCACCTGTGCTGCCATCGCGCCGGTGGCTCCATCATGCATTGCAAGAGTGGAGCCAGGGTTGAAGCCATACCAGCCGAACCACAAAGCAAAAGTGCCAAGGACCACCAAGGGAAGATTGTGGCACTCAAACTCCTCTGGGTTGGTGAAGCGTCCAGCCCGGGGTCCCAGAACGACGGTTCCAGCCAAGCCTGCCACTCCTCCAGTCAGGTGGACCACGCCGCTGCCTGGAGAGCGACCACTTGTGCGAAAGAACGAATGCTAGCCGTTTTAGCAGTTTTCTAGATTCTGGACCCAGAATCTAAGAACCAACAAGTGCCAACAGGTCAACGATGGTCAACGCTGAGGAACCTGGACCGCCCGCCCCGCCTGCGAAGTCCATGTAGCCGACATCGAGCACCGTAGCAATCCAACCCCCACCCCAGGTCCATGCCACGATCACTGGGTAGATGAAGCTGGCCATAAAGAAGGCAAAGATGGCATAGGTGGGACTCTTCACCCGCTCCGCCACAGCACCGCTGACGATGGTCGCGCCTGCCGTGCAGAAGGCCTCCGGGCAGGAAGAGAGGTTTGACTAGTGAACACCCCAACACAGCAACACCCCGGCAACACCCCGACACGGCAAGTTTCGGTTTGGTAGCTCAGGTGTACTGAGGCAATGACCCACTGAAAGAACCACATCAGCATCACTGATTGACAGCCATCCGCAGTGCAGCTCGAGGGCGTGATGACACCAGTGGTCTGATCTTGCGTGTAGAAGTCAAAGCCAGCAAAGCCTGTCGTTCCAATGAAGCCATTGCCTGCATTCATTCAGGGAGCCAGGTGCCCAAAACACAAAACGCAACACACAAACAAACCTTGCAGGGGCTTCGTTCATCCAAACATCCGGAGGGATACAAACGATCTAAAGGGAAAAATTTTCAGATGTATCCACACCGGTCGAGTGGCCATTCTGGGCACCATAGGCAAAGGCCCACCCGAAGAGCCACCAGCCCAAAGTGCCCACACAAACATTCACCAAGTTCTTCATCAGCACGTTGGAAGCATTCTTGGCACGGCAGCTGCCCGTCTCCAGCATGCCAAAGCCAGCATGCATGAACATGACCAGGGCACCGCACAAGCACAACCAGGCAGAATCCAAGGCCCCTCCCAGGTTGTAGTCCGTGTTTTGCAGCGCGGTCACTGCGGCAGTCAGTTGTGCTTGAGTGACCCATGTTTGAAGCTGCCGACCCAGAGGCTGAAGCTCCTTGATCATCGCTTGCTGGGTCTCGATCAGTTCTTTCTGTGCTTTCATCTCAGCCCTCAGCGATGCCACCTCCTCCTCCAAGGAAGCCCGGGCTGCCACCAGCAAGAGCGCATAGAAAGTCTTCATGTTGGAGTGCCTTCTTGGGAAGTATTCAAAGGGAGCACCTCACACACGATTTGTTGCTGATCTGCGCTGTGCAACTGATGGGTCAAGCTACCCATTGGAGCCAAAAGCATCGACCCGAGTTCATCATGCAGTCTGCCTCGCCAAGCTGACAGCTAGCCGTTTGATTAAGTTTTGTGACCATAAGCATAGGGTTTATGGCTCAGGTTTGAGAGGAGCATCCCAAATGCTTGAAAAACTCTTGACCTCGGCCAAACTCAAACCTCCTCCGCGCCTCGTGAAAACGATGCGTAATGAGCCTCAAGTGGCACGCATGGCAAGGCGGCCAGTGGCACACACCAAGCACGCATGAAAACAATTGAAAAAAGGATTGAGTTCTTTGCAGTACTAAACCAAGCGATAGCTGAGTCATCCGTGGGGGCTTCCAACTCAAAAAAGCGTCTGGGATGGACAACGACAACACCATCCGTGTCTAAGGTCCCCCAGCCAGCTGCTCAGCGGCCAGGTGCGAGAAGGTGGGTGGCAAGGACCGCGCCAGTGACTCCAGGCTCTGCAGCAACTGGCCTTGGTTGCGACGCGACGCTTTCACGGCAGGCACTGTCCAGAACCCTTCCCCGTGCAGGCACCGTGCGGTTCGGCATGGGCGGAGAGTCGCTTCACAAGAGATGCCCAGCGCTCTCGGAGGTTGGAGAAAGAGTCTGACTGGCTCAGGGTCTGAGGGTCTGAGCACTCCGGGCCCCACCTCTCCCCATTCAAGCCCAGAGACTCTTCTCGGCCTGAAGGCGTGCCACCCGGCACTGTAGGAGCTGCCTCATGGTCCGGATAGTATGGCAGGGCATGGCTTCCTAGAGGAAATGCCTAACAAGTGATGGGAGTGACCTGGATGTTCAAGGTCAGTGTTGCTGTCCATCATGGCTTGCAAAAATCCCCCCAGCCGATCGACGGAACATCTCTTGGCACTTCCATCTAAGTGCTCCAGCTGTTGATTCAGCCACATTTGCCTCTCCTGCTCATGCTGGAGTCTTTGGCCTCAGGACATGTTGCCAAAATATTGGCAACATGACTGGATCGAATCCTAGGCGAAGGCTTCAATGACCTTCGACCACAAAGAACATCGGTGTTCTATCAGCGTCTCACCCAAAGCTTAGCACCCCCAGATGTGGGGGAACGAAAGCCTCCCAACCACTGCGGGGTTTGCTCGATCTGATGCGACTGGCTTCCCTGACGCTCCAGGCGCTCTTCCAGCTCCGAGATGACCTGTTGAGGCATAAGATGTCATAAGAGTTGTGCAAAATTATATAATTCTAATTAATTTTATATGTTTGTCGTTTTTTGCGAAGGGAGGCGGGGGAACTTCTCAGAAACCATCGATGGTGGCATTCCAGGAACTCGTTGTCAAAGGATCTCGTTCATGGGGGCTGTTGGATGGGTGTTGGGAAAAAACTTTAGCGTGCTGCAATATGCTTTCAAAAGAATATGATGTTCCTGTCTGTTCTAGGTTGCCACTTTGCAGAGCGCATCCCCACCTGCTCCGGAAACTTCCCCTCGCTGTGGCCTCATGGCTTAGGCCGAAACGTGGCATATCTATTCGTCCAGCCACAGGCGATGTCAATTGCTCCTAAATACATCACGAACAATGAGGTTCTTGATGGCTCTGCAAAACGTATGGAACCAACTGCCCCGCAGCCCCTCCGTTGTGTCAGGCGGCTCCGACTCCCAACGCTTCCAATCTCCAATGGCACCACCGTCACTTCTGATGCCCGCCCAGAAGTCGGGGAGCTCTCCTGCCCGTGAAATTGTCTAATGCAAATCCCTGACGCTGATGCACTACATCACCAAAACTCAACAAAGTCTCCAATGGCAAAAACTTACCTCACTCGTCCGAATTTTTCCTGTGCTTAAAGGTGCGGTGCTAGAACCTCCAAAGTCTGGTCTTTTCGCGCTGGGACCAGTCGTCCTTGGCAAGCGTCTGACCCAACACCCCCCACCGCTCCGCCCGAGTACTTCCAGACTTTGGGAGCTTTGGCGAGCCTCAGCCAAAACAAAACGGCAGGGCCACTGGATACAATTCGCCCAAATGGGTACATGCAGCGTATAGTGTGCATGGACACACACAAGTATACACATTCTATGTATCAATTAATGTAACATGTAACTACACATGTAACTATATAACTGATTGCAATCTGATCGTAACTCAGGTGGCCATGGATTCTATGGTACTTTGTGAACTGACGCGCTCAGCCCGCATCAACAACTACAACCAGAAAAGCCCATATAATTATATAACGGTTCCAACGGGCAAAGAATGAGCTTCAGGAAGCGTCAAAGCCTTGCCTTGACCTTACTTTCGCCAGCTTCTACTCCAAGCCACTAAAGCTCCGGAAGTTTGAGGCGTCTGCCTCAGCTGCTCAAGTGCTTCGCGTGAAGGTTGAAGGATGCTGCATCGGCGGAAGAGGCAAAAGAACAAGGATACTCAGAATACGAGTCGGAAGTCACGGCCGGCTCAATTACAATGGCTATGGGCTCACGAGGTTTGCCTTTATCTCAAGGATAGGTTGAAAATTGCCAGGCTCCCCGCATAATCATCACGTGTTTCGCGTTTCAGCGCCCGCCTGTGCACAAGCTTTCAAGGAGTTCCTCAGCGGGTGGAATGCTGGCGTCAAGGCTGAGGCTGGCAGCAAGTAGCCTTCGCGGCCTCCACCTCAGGAACAAAGCACGTCCGACCTCAAACGCCGTCCACGCATGGAAAAGAACGAGAATGATTAGACCAAGTCTTGATCCATTAAAAAGTCAACAAAACTGATCAAAATCAAAACAGTATCGCACAATGTCACTTTGCTGGTGCTTTCGGTTTTGCCGCATACCGGCACCTTCTGCTTCAACTGCCATGATAGCCCACCGTGCTTTGGCGGCCGTCCATGGCACACAAGTGCAAGCAACCGTTTTTTTTGGCAATGATTTTCCTGCAGTTGGTCCAAGTCTTAGGTCCTAGGGTGTGGGCGCTATACTTGATTGTTTCGCCTGCATGAGTTTCCCGCTGATGCCTTGAGTTTCCAGCTGGTATGCATGAAAAGAACCCTCAACATCTGCCAAACTCACGCGGAAGAAAAACAAAAGTTTGATCCAGGAATAGGTGCAATGGTCTCATCTGAAGTAAGGAAGTCAAGCGATCCCGACAAACGTCGAGCTGCTGCCTCGTCACATGTCATTCCACACCTCTGATTTTTCTTTCCTCTGGTGACGCTTCATGGATGTGCGGCTAATCTAAGTGAGGACGGGTTCGGGCACTGCCCCATCGTGAGGCACACTCATCTTTGCTATTAGGTTGGAGGCCATCGCTAATAGGTTGGAGGCCGTCGCTAGTAGGTATTGATTTAATTCCTTTCGCTCAGGGACTCGGTAGGCTGGACGTCTTGCCTCTGCGAGACCTACATGCTTACGAGACTTTGGACACGGGCTCTTATGTTTGTACAGTACAGTGTGGTATTGAATTTGTTGAGGGACTGTGGCTTCTTGCTCTGCACCAATGACCTGTTCACACTTCCAAGCAAACAGCGAATTTTGATCTGAGCTCGCCGAGTGGTGTCGGCAATAATGTTAAGTGGCTATGGAAATTGGTAACTATGGTTCAAACATAGGTTACCAACCCAAGAACTGCCACAGCTAAATCCATGCTTGTTAGGAAACCACTGGAAACAGTGCCAGTATCACATTCACCTTCCCTATGGTTTCTCTTGCCGCACCCATCTTCAACGCGGCCGGCCCCCTCTCACTCCCAATGCCCGGAGCAGCCACAAAGTCAAAACCTGGGCACAAGTCACTTCCAAGGAAAATTAAGAACAGAGAGAGGGAGAGAGAAAGAGAGAGAGAGAGAGAGAGACGAACTTGCAAGGCTCAGGCTGACTTTGGAATCTCACTGGAGTCCAAGATGGTTTTATACAGTGGCACAACTCCCGGTCCATATAACCCTCCTTCTGGGGATCGTGCCACATACTTTCATACTACAGTGTATGTATATATATATATATGTGTGTGTGTGTGTGTATTTGTTGGAATCACAGCTCTTGGATTGGAGACTGTACGTTCTTTACCGATCTTTGGTTGATATGGTTCTGTTACTAATCGCCACTCGTGTTTCGTGTTTTGAGTCTTGCTGGCCTCCAACCTTGCAGCAAGGGCCTCCACTTCCTGACACCTGTCCTGGTTCCTTAGGTTTTTCACTTGGGCCGGCGTGTGGCAACCGCAACCGGATCAGTACGCATGTCAATAAGTGTGTGACATGTGTGTTTGTGTGTGACTAAAAAAACCATCACGCAAACCCAGCAAATTCCTGCCTTGATGCGTCTCCTGGGCGTCAATGCCCACCCTTCTGCTGCGCATGCATCGGCTTGGTCAAAAACTCCTCGTAGTAATACCTCGCACCCAACGGTGAGGTAAGATCAGATCAGCCGAGGGCATCAAGAGATTCATCCGACCGCGGCATCGGTGAATTACTAACACGTAATGCAGAATCTTGATTGATATATAACACCCCCTCAATTGGATGCGCGAACTTGCGGACGTGCTCCCACACCATCCCCTCAATTGGATTATAAAACCTCTTCTATCGCCCTCATCTCGAATCCACGCACTCTAATAATCATCAACAGTCTACATCAGCTAGATGCAACTACTACTGTAAGAGTCACTGTAAGAGCAAGGTCTCGACAGCTCCGATGGCTCCAGCCCCTTGGCTGCTGCCCAACCGAACCGCTGCCGACCGAACCCGCGGAAGGGTGTCCGGTGTGCGCAGGTCACTCGTGGCAATCCAGCTTGCCCTTGCGCCAGGGTGGGTATCCAATGGACTTGGGGTTGGCCCAGGCCCGGAGGCAGTCGTAAAAATCCACCAGGCACGGCATGGCCTGCACTTTGGGAAGGCCAGGAGAACGGAGATGTTCCAAGCGACTGGGGTTCCCTGAAAAATGTCCCCTCCTTTCAAACTGTCATGAGACATGTGTCCGTGAATCTCCACGTGTCCATGTGTCAAGTTCCTTCCCGCTCCCCGTCCCCCAACGCCTTGAAGCTTGAGTCGCCTTGAAGCTTGTGTGCCGCTTGAGCCGAAAAACTGGAAAGTTCTCATGGGTCAAGAGTGAATCCAAACTACACAAGCGTAGTTCCTTAACTCTTTGACGGAAGTCTCACTTAGCTTGCCTCCACCTGCTCCCTTAACGCTCCCAACTCAACCGACCAATGAGAAGCACTCTCATTCTTCCACAATCTCCTGCCCTCAGGACCTGTCACCAAGCCCTCCAGCCAATTCTCCCGATCCCATGGATGAGCGCACCTCGATGCCTCCCTCATCAGCCGTCCGCCGGCAGTATGGATGCATGGGAACATGCGAGTCTGGAGGAGGCAACGGCACTTTCCTTCGTGAGTGGGTTGGAGTTCGATGAGTTAGTCAGGATAGGAAGCAGCAGTGTTCCACCTACATTGTTCTACAGGGCCCGCCATGGATCACACAATATTTAGCATGCATTGCCGCGTTGTCATGTTCACATTGGTGTATTCTTGAGACTGGGAAGTGTCTGCTCATCTTGTGAATGCCTTCATGCTGGTCTGACAGACACAGATATCACAGCCAGTGCCATGGATGGGGGTCTTTGCATGCCAAACACTTGCGGGGAAAATCTGCTCAGATCCATGAAGATGCTTCAGGGCTGGTCAGCGGCTGGTCAGCTGCGGGCCTGGTAGTCTGCAAGCACCCATGATTCAGTGAAGCTGGTGACCTACCTCGGTCTGGGTCACCTGATGCACAGCTGAACCCCACTAATCTAGCGTTGTTCAGTACCCCACAGAGAGTGGACAGCTTCGCCCTGAGGTCGAAAATATGCCTTTGGCAACCTTCGCTCCTTGAGCTCCTCGCCCAAACGACCCCATTTCTCCGAGGTCCTTCGCAGCACAACGGTCATCCTTGCTGATCCACCAATTCGCTCACCTGGCCTCGCTCAGGGAACCAGCTCACGAATGGAGTAAAGGTGATGGTGAGCAGGGTGACCATGGTGACCTTGTGATTGATCAACCAGCTGGGATGTCACAGCTTGGAGGGCAAGTGAGCATCTGGACCTGATTCAAAACTCAACAGCCTTGGACACCAACTTTGGGGCTTTGTCACCCTCATGATGCCACCAACTCTTCCAGGAACGCGCAGGCGACTGGAGCCGTGGCAAGGTGCCAAGGTTGTTCAAAGTGAGGACTGGCTCAGGGAGACCCAAGGTCACTCCATCAGTGACGTGGACTGCTTCACTTGTACAGGATGTTGCAGGGCCCGGCTTCTAAATTATACATTTTAATACAAAGGTTGCTCGATAAATGGACACGGTATAATGCTCACAAGTTCGTTTGAAGAATGGGTCGCACACATTTTTTGTGTTCAGGGTCGAGCCTACACACCAGCGACACTTCAACTCTCAAATGATCTATAATCATCTATAATATAGTCTGTATATATAGATATAGCCTACATAGGGCATGTCGGGTACAGTGAAGTGGGTGTGCAAGTGCAATTCAATCAGTAGATTAAGCAGAAAAATATATAAATCATTATATATAGAAAAACGAAATGTATATATATATATATAATGATTTATATAAGCTTTCCAAAATCACTGAGGCTGGGCTTGTACCCGGTCCCCATGGTCTGCTTGGGAGCTTCCCTGAGCTCTTCTTTTGCCTCGCGTACGTTGCAATGCCGCAGTTCACGAATCCCTGATTTGTTCCGCTTCCTCTCCGAATGGTTCGTCGAAAAAGAAGCTGAAAAGGTACAGGTCATGTTCACTGCAGGCCTGCAGAAACATCCAAGGAAGAGCAACTCCATCCTCCTTTTGGAGCAAAACTTGGCTGAACCGTCACTGGGTTTGTGAAATTTTCTTGGACGTCTCTGGTGAAATCAGATCTACAATGATCTACAACAGCCAGGAATGCAAAGACCCGGGTGTCAGGACAGAAAGGGAGGAGTCAGCACAAAAAGACCTTAGCTTCGCATCAGGCACTACCATTCTTCCTTTTTGCATTGTTGCGGCGCGACGTTTAGTGTGTATGTGTGTGCTCAACACACCGGCTCGGCTTGTTCTTGTGCATCTAGTGTCATCGCCCTGAAGGCATTCTCAACAACCACGGACAACTCCCGCAAAAAGTTGCACTTTCCCGTCCTATGAATTCTTATGGTAGTTCCCACTAAACGAAAGATTCAATTGTGTAGCCGACCGTCTTCAACTGTGTCTCGCCGTGCTCAGCATTGCCATCAATGCAAACATGGCTGTTGTAAATCGCAAATCTGGTAAAACGCGCCACTTTGGGCAGACCCAGCTAACCACAACACCCAAGAAGTGCTTTGTGATGCTGAAAGTATCCTGTCGGCAAACTAGATACAGAATGATACAGAAAAGACAGAAGGCACAAATGCAAACCTGCAAACCTGTCCAAAAAATGTGGTTGGCGCAGCTGGCAATTCTGCGGAAATGAACCAATTCCATGCGCTTTGGAACGCAGCGAACAGCATTCTGCACGCCGCGCCAGGAAGCGGAAACTGTTCGGCACGGAGCTTGTCAGCAAAAGGTCATTTGGGTGAGGGGAAGGCGGGAAAACACGTAGCTAGCTTTCTGAAAAAAAAAGAAACACAACGAGGGAGGTTCACCTCAACAAGGCTCGTGCCGAAATGATAAAACAGCTGGGATCTAATCCGACTTCACAGCCCCCCACCATGGCTGCCTTCGACTTATAGTGAAGTCCATGAGTCACCCATTTCGCAACATCGAATCTAGGCATTGGCGGGAGGAGTGGGAGGAATCCGGGCTTTGGAAGCTGATCCAAGTCCTTTTGACTTTCGGATCTCCGGGCAACCAGCAGTCGAAGTACATGACCTACAAAAATCATCTACCAAAGGCAGCAAAACCTAGAAAGATATGAAGAAAACAGCCCACCTAGACTCAGATCGCCTATGGAAGTGCCGGAACTAGCTGGCCTATTGCCTTGCGTTCCATATGCAGTACCATGCATTTGTCTTGCCACTCCCGCATTGCTTGGTGGGGTTTCAGTTCATAATTTGGCTCTGCCGGCTGCCCTAGTCTAAGCAACTGCCCATGCATGGACGGCTTTGGTACCAATTCGGCCCTTGACCTAGTGTCAAGAAGCCTAAGGAATCAAGGGCTTGACACATGCGAATGGTTTACAAAGAGCTGCCAACCTCTTTCTTAGACAACCTCGAGCAGCCTCTCTGGGCCGGTGTTTATGGATGCTTGGAAGGGTACGGGTCACGCCATCATACATGTCGATGTTTAATTTGTCAAACACCTCTCCCTCTTCCTCGTTGTAGTGGCAGATTCCTTGAAGTCCTAACGCTTCTAACAGGTCCACACCTTTACTTGCAGGTGGCTAGTCTGGGATCACCACATCATCGAAAATGATCAAGTTAGAACAGGGTTGTGAATGTCACAAAGGAGAGGCACACTTGTGGTCATTCCCATTCCCACCCTGCTCGAAGTGCAGCATCCCCAATACTTTCTTGACAGGAGGCAAATGCCCTTTGTCCTAGTTCCGTTTTGTGGTGTGTAGTCTACACATCCAGTTCTGGTAATGTGTTTCATATCCACAATTCGCATGCGTGGCCACCTTGGACTCCCTGGTTACCTGGTTTCTCAAGGTGCTTCGAGGGTCACTTCCTCACCAAGCCCCTGCATCTCGAGGCATGCTCCCAATCTCCCAATGACACCAGAGCACCTTTTAGGAGGTATCTGAGTAGGTGCCCCAGACAGCTGCAAGACCGGACTACGGATGTGAAGTCAGGAGAGGACCGCCCCACCCTGGACTGATGCTCCAAACATCAGCCCACCCAGGAAAGCATTCGCACCGGCGTCGCCCCTGATCTCTCCACCACATGGTTATCAGCGTTGGGTCTCCACTGAATCTTTGCCGGATCCATCTGTTTAGATGTGTATCATGCCAACATCGCAAACAAAAATGGTGGTGTCACAACTGATCTGAATTTAGCATGGTCTCAGGGACTCCTAACAAGTGTTTGGATTGGCCTCTGGAAGCACAAAGCGCCATATAGTCAAAACTGCAGGTTGTTTGAGGATTCATGTTGGGATGGTTTGAGACTACTAACTTGTTTCTCTGAGGTTGTCGGACGCGATCACACTCTCCAACCAAACCCAAAAGCCGGGCCTGCCGTCATCCTCCATGCAGTTTCATGCCTGGAGGGCGAGGTGAATGACAAGAAACAAACTCAAGAAGGGATAAAGAAAAGCGTTCTGCGGGTCTGCCTTCTTGGTTCTCACATTCTCCTTGTGACACAGCCAGAAGACACCCATCCTGATAAGATCTCCATCAAAACAACACCTTTGATAGGCCAAATAATGGTTGGTGCCACGCTCCACCAAGACCTAAACCGAACTCTCGCCTGGTGTCTGGGCGTCGACGTGCACTTGCTGAAGCCTACGCGGCGCACGTGACGCCACCTGCGCTGCCAGGTGCGCAGTGCTAGGAGAGATCTCCATTGAACGAGCTGACGCGATGCTGACCAATTCAAGAACACCAAATGGTGACTTCGTCGATTCTTCACGGTGTTCACTGTCGGACGTGAGAGAACTCACCCACTGGGACCCCGCGCGGCTCATACTCGCAAACCTCCGCCGAGCCCCAGGTCACAGCCTTTCGCACCGTCCGCCTCGGCCGTTTCCGCCCGCGTCCGTCGAGGGGAAGAAGGGCGACCGGAATTCGGGGCAGCTTCTCTCACGAATGCCATGGAAAAGGTGCAACACCCCCCTTGTGTCCTTGGACTGGGCCGGGGTCAAATGGCCGGTGGTAGTACGCCACCCGGTGCTTTTCAAGTTGTACCATAGTGAGCGCACTGCAAGATTCCACGATTAACAGCCACCACTTTCTGCTTCATATTGGCCGCCTTCCTAGCAGATGGAGTTGCACATTTCCACAAACACAAATCGGCCCAACTGAGTGCACCCTATCAGCTCAGGTGCCATGTTTCTTCCTTTTTGGGCAGGATGCAAGTGCAAGGAGTTTCAATAATCCAGACAACCAGAACCACCACAACTGCAGGGTGATACGCGAGCTTTCGAAAAAGGCTGGTGTAAAAACAACTAGTCAAATAGTTAAAGAGAAAAGAATGAATGAAACAAAGCCCAACAAACTGACACAAACACCTGGAATCCCACACGAGAATATGAGGAGACGTGACACATGCCTCCCACACCCTTGATGGATCAAATCCAACGGACGACCCCAAAAGTCTTTTGTACCTTAACTACCAGCAAGTGTTCTTTTTCCGCGTTGGCACGGAGGTCGCTCGGTCTATGCACCAGCTATGCCCAAATCTTTCAACCGCTGGGTAAGGACATCAGCGTTTACTGTGCCTCAGGGTGTGCTCGAACACGGGCCGCACAGCAAACATGGAATACGTAAGGAAGTGACATATGCCTAACATACCCGCCCTCCCTTGTAGAGGAACATCTTTTGAGTGTCTCGAACACTTGCCATTTGGAGGTCTGATTAAGCTTCTTTGGGTCGACCATCTGCTTGTTCGACATTCGCTCCAGCTACTAGATTTTGAGCCTACAGGATACCAAGTGACTGACTCTTCATGTTGGGAACAGTTTATTGCACTGATATATACTTACAGTATATAGAGTCTCAGAGATTCAATACAAACATCCTTCCAAACATTCACCTGGCCTATCCCCCTTCACCAGCCTAGCATGAGCTCGGAGACGCTCGGCATGCGCCCCCGCTTCATGAGTTCTGCGCAAACCACTGCAATGGGATCGCGGTTCACGGTCGCCACAGCACGGATTTCGTCGTCCTCTGAGCGGCATGGCCCACATCAGGATCGCTTGGACTGGAGAGCCGTAATCTAACCTCCCTTAGCCGCCAGCAGCTAGCCGACCCTTGCACACAAGTGGTAGTATATATACATACTGTACACAAAAATATATATGAATATCTTTATATATATATATATATGTGTGTGTGTGTACATACCTTTCCTCACCACCCATGACCTCGGACCTGGATGTCCAGAGCGCGACTCTGTGAGACAAACATGCGCAGGAAGTACCCATGAAAAGGAAGAAAGAAAGGAAGGAAGGAAGGAAGGATCTCCTGTTTTTCGAGGAGTTTGACCTATGTCCTATGTTCTCACGAACTTCGGATTGCGAAAGAAAAAGATCCTGTCCTCCGTATAGTAGGAGATGAACTCCATCTTGCTCACGTCACCTGACACCGCTGAGATGTTGCTTCGCTGCTGGATTTCTTGTCAATTCGCACGGGGGACCAGGGGGATTCGGTTGATCAGATTGGTCGACAAAGAAAATTGCAAAAAGTCACAGAAACAGAGTCAACCCGCTTTGTTTATGCCTGCTTTGCCCCTCACATGCCGAGGGAAGCCGTGCCTTCAATGATGACACGATCCAAAGCTTCAGGAGCATGGCCCACAAACCGCAAGTTCAGGTTTCCAAAGAGACCTGCCAATGCTCGCAGCAGAGGCTTTCAAGGTGAGGGAATCCAGAAATGGAATCCCTGAAGAAGTCGAGCAACCAATCCCCAACCTCGTGCCAACTATGATCATACAACTAATGTACAAGAGTAACTCGGCCAGGCCGCCGAAAACTCGCTGCAAAAAGGTTCCTTGGACCGCCTTCCAACAACCAGAATTGACGGAGTCTGAAGCAAAACATGATCTTTTTCACTCATCCTCCGACCACGTCCAGTGCCTCCACTAACAATACACTCGCCCACGGTTTTGCTTAGCTCTAAATCCGAAGCAGCCCACCTGACCAGAAGAAGGGCGTCGTCGTGAATGGCTGGAACTTCCTCAGTCCACAACCTCCAGCTGGGACCTATAAAAGTGAGAATCGATCATTCTCGATCACCTATGTTTGAGTCTCCGTTTCCAAGTGCTTACCAAGCATCCCCAGCATGTTGCTGGCAGCCGTTCGTCCCTGCTGCATGGCCACATCCCAGTGTTCGATCCGCACGCGCTGCCCCGTTTTCACCGCGGGGTAGGCGCAAACATCCCCAGCAGCGAAGAGATTCTCGCAGTTCTCGGCCTCCGAAGCGGAAGCAAAGAGATTCCGCCCGCAGGTGTGGGCAGAGATCATGCAAATCATGGAAATCAAACAAGCTTCTTGTTATTAGGAGCAAGGTTGCTCCTAGCAGCGATGCCTGGAGCCCTAAGTAGCGTCCTTGCTCCTAGTAGTATGTCCAGGAGCCCCTAGTAGCGTTCTTGCTCCTATATAGTAGTAGTAAGGCCAGGAGCCCCTAGTAGCGTTCTTGTTGGGACGGCATAGGCAGGTCAAAAATGGACTAAGTGGCACGTTGTAAGCAACAGTCACGAAAGACCACGGCTGCAGCTGCGCAGCGTCCCAACAGCAAAAAAGACTGTTCTATGCCAATAACGCACTTGGTAGCAAGGGTGCCTGGCCTTCTCTTCCTCCCCGTTTCCTTTCCTATCATCGCTCTGTCCATCCAGCCCATGTTTTATTTACCTGCATGTGCGTTCGCCTGCAAGAGTGGGTTCACAATGATGGCACCGTTCTTGTCCTCGGCGCCACTTTTCACTTCTCCAGGGTACATATTCAAGGGTAGTATTGATATTCTTCTCTTTCAAAGGCACGTTCGGCCACTGGGCCACATAATGGCCATCTACAATCCTACTCGAAGCCTCAACAAACTTCTACACTGTGACCAACCCGCCAGCTATGAGCTATCACCTGGCACCAATAAAATGAGGCCCTCTCCAGGTATCACCTGGGGGGCACCGTTTCGGGCTGCACGGGTGAGAATCCGAATAGCCCAACCACCACGACCAAGTAGCCAACGACAGCCCCTCCACGAAGCGCGTATTGGGCAAAACCCCTGCACCCACCACCACTGCATCGGCTGGCAGGACCTGCTGTGGCGTAAGTGGAACCAACGCAGCAAAGGCCCGTGGTAGAGGACACGCTTGTTTGACAAAGGCTCTCCCTCCCTCTCTATCTCTATCTCTATCTCTATCTCTCTCTCTCTCCCCCTCCTCTCTCTCATCGAGGTGCCCTAGTGACAAAAACTATCTGGTGTCCGTCCAGACCTGCAGGCTCGCAGGTTTGGGGCATATTTCCATCTTGGAGATCCAGCACTGGGCTGCAAATGAATATGTGCTACACTTGTGTTGAATTGGTTGTGTGAGATTGTGTGCAATATGAATATGAAAGCCCCAGAACAAACCAACCCTGTGGAATATCGGTATCAGCGGAAAGTCTTAACGCGCCAATCAATCCCAAGCTCAACCAACGGCTCAATGATGTATGGTCCACACCAGGATGGACATACAATGGCATTCCCCAGCAGGTCCTGCCTCGCCGTCCTCCAGCTCCACACCATTCACCGTCTCGTTCCCGCGGAAAAGGCGGACTTGGGAGGTGCCGAACCTCGACCAATGAAGCTTGGTGGATTGGGGAGCTGACTGATCTGATGAGGTTGTCCCAAGTTGAAGTAGAGACTGATCTATATAGATCCGTTTGGAAAAAGAGAAGGCACCCAAGTATTTCAGATCTGCACATCACTTTGCATCGCCTTGCATCTATGGTGGGACAATGCTGGGTCTTGCTGGGGTGCGAATTCCATGCAAATCTCTGAAGTGTATTGAAGTGTCTGCTCGGATGGAGGCTCGCGAAAGGTCCTTTGTGGGCAACACCTTCAACAGCCAAGAAACCACTCCACACCTTCTTTCTGTAGTTTTCTGGCGAAGGATGCCCCAACCTTCTTCCCCAAGACTCTCTCAAAGGGGACGGTCTCCATGGCAATCACCGCCACATCGCAGCCCTTCTTCGCTAAAGAGGACGCGACTTCCATCCCAATGAACGAGCCGCCCACGACGATCATCTTCTGGCCTTTCTGAGCCAAGGCAGCGATCTGTGCAGCATCCTCCGGGGTTCGCAAGGTGAAGATGTTCTTCAGATCCGAACCTGGAACGAAGAGCTTCCGCGGGCTTCCACCTGTTGCTACTAGGACTTTGTCATACTTCATCTGCTCAGGCACGTTGTCCTGCACCAGGGGTGGCAGCAGGGGATTAGGCCAGTCTGAACTTTAGGAAGATGCAAACTCTGAACTAAATTGCTTCGAGGGAATCCACCACACTTGTTCAAACTATTAATTTGAAGCAGAACAAGGGGGATGACTTGCTTTCCTCAAGAAGACATCGAAGAAACGGCAGGTTACCTCATGATCCTGTGCCAGCCTCTTTTCTAATAGAAACCTCCCCGGTTGCATGAAAATGTGAAAGGCTCCGGCCATGACGGCCATGACATGAGAGTCTCCAAGATCAAACTAACCGCAAAGCAGCAAAACCCCTCGCGCCAACGCCTTGGTGTACTGGATGGTCTGCTCTTTAGTGTTCAGCTTGGTCACGGTTGCACCCTGCAGGACCTTTCACAAGTGACCATGGAAGTCGGTATATCTTAGCAAAGGCATTGGCTCAAATAATCGAATTGTGTTGTTTTTTCTCGTTTTATATATCTAGTTTTCTTAGCACTTGCAAAAGGTTTGTTGCAACTGCGTCCTCAATGTCGTAATCTTTGTAAAACGACGCCGGCCGGAGCAGGAGCTTATCCACTGGCTTGTCCAATGCCTTGGACAACTGCACCTTAGTCTTGGACAGCCAATGTGGTGACACCATCACCTAAGTGTCTATACTACAGGAAGATGAGATACAGACTTTACCTTCACAATTTCCTCCTAAGCTTCTCACGATGTTACCAAATCTGAGATAGGAGCTTATAGTCATTTTGGGTCTCCTTCATGTGCTTTGGACACATGAGATACACCTTTTTTTGGATCCAAAACTGTCCTATCAGATTGCAGCTGATTCCTGCATGTATGTTTCACTACTCCTGTGTCATTTGCGGGCAGTATTATAAGTGTCTGAGTGAGAAAAAAAGGAAAGGAAGAAGCCGTTGAGAGCCTCTCTCACCGCCCGGACCCTCTCCGAGACTCCGAGGCGCCCGATCGTAGGGTAAGTGGCTCTCCTTGGTCACCATCACGATCCGCCCCGTGAAGCCCTCCTGCCTCAAGGTCTCTGCCGCAGCCAGCGAGGCACAACCACCCCCCAGCAGAACGAAGGTGCGGGAGTCGCTGGACTTCCGCTTGGCCATCGCCTGCGTCGTGCCGATCAAATCGCGGTTGCTCCATTTCGAGGCGAGGGCTTGGGCTCAAGTGAACCTAGCCTTCACTCTCCACTTCGGACCGTCTCGAACTGCTATAGCTTCCTTGCGGTCGTCCCCTCCGGGCTATGCCGACCTCCGAAGAGGTCCCCCCCGTAGCTGGGACCCCCGCCTTCAGGACTCTTTGATGCTTGCCACCTGTTGCAATCTCGGAGGGAACATGGGCGAAAACAGTTCCATCCTTCACCTCAGACTTGTAGACGGCAATTCCATCTACACTGGGCCCTCGCACCACCTCCCCTGTCCTTCAGCGTGCTCAAACACCAAAGGGGAGAAGGACTGCTGCTTCTCGCAGTGCGGCAAATCGCTCCGTGGATTCAATTACAGTAAAGAATCTACAGGAAAAAATGAAACCCTTTGAATTATAGATCAAACATCGATATGGCGAAATCATGGGACTCCCATCTTCATTGCTTAAGTCTTTGAGTGCGACCCAGAAGGCGTCAAATGACAGTCCTGAGATCGAAGCTGGCATCGTGCAGGGGGCACGTGACCGTGGGCCCACCCCCGCGCCCACCAGAAGAGCTCACACCCTTCCGGAGGGGGGCGCCATAGTGGGAACAAGCAGGCGAAGTCACAAAAAATTCGCCCTGGTGCCGATGAACTAACCTCGGCACAAAGGAAACCTGATTACAAGGCCTCACAAATTCTTCCTCCAAAAATCTTGGTTTGAGACTTCCACACTGCACCCCTAAACACAATTCGTCAGTGCACCTTGCATTGTGTGGCATTCGACATGCACTTCCAAGTCTTGCGCGCTGGGTGTTTGAAAGGTTTTGGCAGGTGCACTCCAAGCAACACGGCTGAACCTCCTTCAAGTTTTACTTCCTTCATGCTGGCTTCTTCAAATTCAGAGACCTTCCCAAGGCTAACTCTCTGCGTCGACGAGCACGTGCTCGTTCCACGGGCATGCTCGACGCCCATCGCTGCGGTGAGCATCACGGCCAGTGGTCTCAAGTCCCATCGGTTGGACCGGGGGAGGTCCAAACACCAAGACATCCTGGAAGTCCTGGAATAGGTCCTTGACGAGATTGCACCTGCACGGAGCAGCCTCTGCATCCATGGTCTTGAAGAAACCCAGGCGCTCATCACGGCTGCAATGGCGCGAAAAAACACCGCTATGACCTACAAACACCTACTACTGGTTGCCCAAGAGCCAAGCCATGCCAGGTGCGGTTGGAGACGTGTTGGGCAAACGCCATGTGATGCTACTCTCCTTGTACCCCCGACCAACACCCTTTTATTGTTGACATTCTCCTCTGCCCTGAGTAGATCAGTTACTATATGCAGTGAGGAAGCGAAATTGGTGTGACGCGTTCTCTGATCCGTTCTTCAATACAAACTTCGCCAAATACCTACCAGGAAAAATGTGTATATACAAATATGTGTGTGTGCCTGCCTGCATTGTATGCCTCAAATGTCTCTATGAGATATATATACTTCTTGTGAATGAGTTGTGTGGAAGTTGAGTCTGCACCACACGATGCAAACTGTTTCTGTTCCCAGCTGCTTTGAGGAACCCGAACTTAGTAGGCACGGTTGCAGACGAGGGCGATGTAACTTGGAGCACCTCAGAACGAAACTGACATACAAATCTGAACGAAAAGGCAAGCTTTGATGACCGTGGGGGCTCACATGTGACCTTATTTTCAGCTAGGCCGCCAAGTCTTGGAGAAAAATTGTTTGCGCCTTCTTTGGCCGAAATCGCTGCAGCCAAGGAACAACACCAGCTAGAAGGGACTCAGTGTTGCTGCCTGCGTCACTGAGCCATCATTGAAGTCAAATCATATTGCCCTGTTGAGGTCTATGACAACCCTATGATCCAACGGCCCGACCTTGCTTCATGGCATATGCTGAGTTTCGATCAGTTACACCGTCGTTGACCATGCGACTGCCACGTCCAAGCTGCGTGATGCCCGGCACTTCCAATCAACACATGGGCCCTGGCGGCCCTGGCCCCCCAAAAAGACTGGGTGCCCAACGCAGTGCCCCACGCAAGGCCACCTCCGGCCTTGATTCCAAGTTTCACTCTTGTGACAAAAGTGGCAACACCTGCCATGACATGCCCTGACATGCCCACAGGAAATGCCTCCAACAACGGAATACAAATTCCCGTTCAAAGTTCGGCATGATCTTCCAGCCCAAACAATATCATTTCCCGGGATTCACCATCCCTGAGGTGGGGGCACGCTGAACATCAACTAAAACCCGCTGTTCGCCTCTCCATACCCACTGAGTCAGCTGAGGATCTCCTCCCTCGAGCCAGCCATGGGAGGACTTTTGATGGAAAAGTTCTTCACCTTCGAACGAATCATCGACTCCGAGAACAAATGACTCCGTGCCGACAAAAACGTCAATAGAAAAGCAGCACAAACATGTCTAAAGTTGGTTCGCTGGGATCCGGTCAAAGGTCAAGAAACCCAACCACAAGAACAGCCAGCATACAACATGCTGCACATACTCATAAATCTGGCGACGGGTGTTGGGCAACTGCCCTCTCCTGTCCGACGATTTTGGCCGCTGGGTTTGCATCAGCATAGGCTCCTGCCAGTCGCACTGGCTGGTCGCCAACTGCCATGATCGACTGAAAATTTTCTGCGAAAGATGCACTCTCCTTCGCTGTGGCTCCACTTGCCCCCGCGCATTTCCCATTTAGAGCCTTTAGGACCTCAACTCGCAATCTACGCTGCTGAAGCAGCCCTAACCAAAAGGCTTTTTCTGGCCTGTTTGCCTGAACCACTCACGAACGGGGTTTTCTGAGGGCGTGGCTGAAAAGGATGCCCACCGAAGCCGCACTGTTGCAGCAACCCATGCTGTAGCACTGCGTGCCAGCAGTTTGCAGCGGCACTGGGTCCAAGAGCAATCTTTGAAGCTAGTTGCCCGTCTTCAATGTTCACTTGTTGTGCTCAACAGTTGGGTCCATGAGGCATGTTAAACAAACGATGAACATACGGAAAACGGGCCCCCGCTTGAACCGAAACGATGCCACAAAATAGAAATGTGCATATGAACCGAAACGATGCCACAAAATAGAAATGTGCATATAAATAGACGCAAAAACGTACATACACGACATGTATGCGCACAGACATGGACATGTATAAACTATATATATATGAATGACATAAAAGCGCGCCGAAAACACACACTCAGAAATCCTTCCTTCCCCTCCTCTCAATTTTCCTGCTGCATGTCGCACACACAACCACCCCTGAGACAAGCGGCGGCTTTGACGCCAGTGTTGGTGTGCATTTTTTTCATGAACTCTTTGCTCGCGCAGAAAAAGGAAACCTATATCATCACCATGGCTGATTTCAAGACCAAGAAAAAACCATGCCATCGCGGTAAATCGTTCACTGGTTTTCTTCCTGGTGCAATGGTGAGTCTCACTGCCCCACACGGAGTTTGGTGCGAAAATTGGACGCACAAGCTCGAGCTTTCGAATTGTTGCTCCAGGATTGATGGCTAAACCGCACCTTCCCTAAGGTGGCGAAGGCGTTACATGAGCCCTATCGTCCACGGGGTGAAGGGTGGTGGTGGGGAGACGCCGGCCAAAGTTCAATAAGAAAGTCACATCCAACATCTGCCAACATCTGTCCTGCCATGATTTGTTGTATTGAACCGTGTGCATGTGAACTCCATTTCGTCCTGTAGTCACTCCTGCAGGCTGTTGCTGATCCAAGCTTTGCACGGTTAGTCATAACAGCGGTTCAGCCAAGTTACGTTTAAAGAAAACCCATGTAAAGACATCAACTCCGTTGAAGTGCTGTTTCTTTCGCACGGACTCTTCGCTCGCGCAGCGTCACCATGGCTGATTGCAAGAACCAAAAAGGATCATGACGTCCTGGTAAGTCGTTCCCCCTTTTTTCAGATGCAATGAGGAATCTCACTGCCCCACACGACGCGTTGCTCGAAAATTGGACGCACAAATCTAAATTTTCGAAGCCCTGCTCGTGTCCCATAAGGGGGGGGATCATCGCAATCGTTGTCCCCAAATCAAGGATGGGTTCACCTTGTCCATCAATGCCGCAACGGGCACCTCAATTCTCACGGAAGGATGCATCACAGGGCAGAAACGCGTTTTCTAGACACATCCAACTCAACCACTTGACATAAAGAGCCGGCGTTACTGCTCTCAATTTGTGGGCGCGTGTTGCTTTCGTCCTCGTGGTGTTTGCAACAGGCCAAACAAGGGGCAATCAGGGATTAAACTCCCAGGTTCTCCAGACAGCGTAAGGGGAAGACCCCATGGCTGTAGACAATACGTGTTGCCTAAACGGCCTCAAAGTCAATGCAACGTTTTTCCATATCGACATCGTGTGGCACCCGGATCATTTTGGAACCCAGAAACGGATCATTTTGGAGCACGGACCATTTTGGAACACAGAGGAAAAGAAAACTCTCCGGGACTGCAGTCTGACACCAGTTTCGCGGATCAGTTTGGAACACACATCCTTCGGTAGTGCTTCGAAGGCATCATTTGCTAGTGAAAATGAGCGTTTCGTACGAGACTTCCTCCAAAAGAGCCGCGCTTGTCTCCAGAACGAACGTTTCGTATGAGACTTCCTTCAAAAGTGAGCCGCGCAAGTCTCCAGAACGACCGTTTCACACCAGACTTCCTCCAAAAGTGAGCCCTTGGGTTTCTTTTGGTTTGCCTTAGGGCCTTGCTTCTTTAGGACGTCTTTGGGTTGGACCTAGGCCTTCACTTCACTTGTGAGGGACTTAGGGCTTCACTTCTTTAGGGTCTCTGGTTGGTTTGGCTAAAGGCTTTGCTGCTTTAGGATGTCTTTTGGTTTGACTCAGGGCTTCACTTCTTTAGGGTCGTTTTTGGTTTTGCTTAGGGTTTCACTCCTTTAGGGTTTCTTGTGCTTGGGCTTAGGGTTTTGCGTCCTTAGGATGTGTTCGGGTCGGACTTAGGGCTTCACTTCTTTAGGGTCCCTTTTGGTTTTTGCTTCGGGCTTCGCTCCTTTAGGGTTTCTTTGGTCTTGGCTTAGGGCTTCACTTAATTAGGATGTCTTTGGGTTTGACTCAGGGCTTCACTTCTTTAGGATGTCTTTTGGTTTTGCTTAGGGTTTCGCTCCTTTAGAGTTTCTTTTGCTTCTTTAGGATGTCTTTGGGTTGGTTTCACTTCTTTTTAAGGGTCTTTTTTGGTTTGGCCTAGGGCTTTGCAGCGTTAGGATGTCTTAGGGTTTCACTTAGGGCTTCACGTCTTTAGGGTCTCCTTTGGTTTTGCTTAGGGTTTCGCTCCTGTAGGGTCTCTTTGGGTTTGGCTTCGGGCTTCGCTCCTTTAGGATGTCTTGGGTTTCACTTAGGGCTTCACTTCTTTAGGGTCT